AACCGTATACAAGCAATAAACCAAACAAAAATAAGTATTAAGAACCTGAATATAGCAAAACATAAATTAAGATCAAAGTATTTTCTGTAATAATCTTGCTAATAAAATCAAAAAAGTATTCTATAACCTAAAAATCTGTAGTAACCAGGAACAAAATCGTTCACTCTATCAGCCAAACACAGTGGATTATTCTTTGCAAAATGTGTACGCCCCATGAATCCCTTGTAGAAATATATACCATAGAAGTTTTTGAGCAAATTAATTACTTTAGTTTTATTTTTTTTAAGGTTTAGTCATTTTCTCAATCTATCAATTTTAGCTTAAATTTCTTTTTTCGTTAAAATGTACTTTTTATCATTTGTTATGAATATAAATTCATCATTTTCAGTAACAGGTTTCTTTTCGGCCTTTTTATCTGGTAGTTTTTGTTTCTTAAAAATATTCGAAAGAAGTGTTTTAACTTCTGGCAACTCATCATCACTATCACTTTCAGAAATGATAATTATTTCTCTTTTAAATTCATCATTTCATTTTCTTTTAACTCCTGTATTTAACCCACAAGATATTAACGCAGTTTGTTTACTTGGAAGATCACTATCATAATCTAATACCATTATTATAATTCATTTAATAAAAAATAATTATACAATTAGTCTATTTAAATAAAATATTTATTTATATTTATTTATTGTACAATGAATATTAACTTTATTGGATATTAGATTATTACTAATCTCCCCAAACCTTTAGGGCAAGATCAAATATTTTCCATATCCAGGTAGTGGTTGTATCCGGTCTGGGTCGAGCGCTCCATCCCGGCAAGCCACAACAATCTGCTTGCGTGGATCATTGTGGTTTGTTTTGTATGAGTTTATTATTTTTTTTTAATTTTTATTTTTTTTATTCATAAATTATTATTGGGTTAAATTTATATTCTCTTTATTATTCTTAGTAATACATTTATTATTGATACTGTTGCTAATCTAATTGGGTTTACTAACAACTATGAAAAATGTGCTTTCCTCCTCATATTTTTGTATGGCGGTTCTGTTTATCTTTCCGAATCTAGGGTCGCTGTATATCTTTTCCATACTTTTCACATCACATTTCTTTCTAGACTCGGTACTATAAATGATGCCTTTGATGCAGTATACAGGCTCGTTGGTAAATTTGATAACCCCGTTGAAGTATGGTACTTCTTCTTTCCTCTCTCCAATCTGGGTTCGTTGTATTTTTTTGCTTTGGAAATCGATCTCTAGATCTTCGTCAGTTTCGGTATAGTGTTCTTTTGCTTCACAAGTTTGGTTTTGATATTTGTAAAAAAATCACTGTTTAAATATACTCTAAAGAATTTACTAAGATCTCTTCTCTTTTCATATAATCGTGGGTTGGCATAGTCGATCTTGTCTTTTAGGATAAATGAGAGCCCCGGGGTTTTTTTTCTAAACTCATCGAATTTGCATAATGTATATCTGATAATCTCACCAAAAAAATGGCCTAGTTTCTTGTAATAATATTTTATCTTTCTTATAGTGTCACCGTTATCATCAGTAATGAGAATAACAAAGTTTCCTGGTTCTTTAGGATTCTCTTTAAGAAGAGTATACTCATAGTATCTGAATATTTCTTCTTCATCATTACAGTCTCATCTACTAAAGACGATTCTTTCTGATGCAATGATTGGTACATCAGCTGCCCCATGATTGAAGTGGAGTAATACTTGCACAATAGTGTCTCGTTGTTCTCTGGTAGTCATCTTGTTTCTTGATTAATATTAGTTTTCACCACGAGTATTTATATTATACTCGGTGATAATGCTTGTAATCTTAGATTATTCTTACTATGCTTAGTATTGTGTCATATAACGGTAAATACCACCCGCTCA